CATTTTAATTTCGTTTACTAACAGCATGAGCTGTATAATTCTTATTACTTCTTAATTGCATTTTAATATTGGGTTTCTAGGTACATTGGGGCGAAATCTTTTTCTTAGTATTTCATCTAATCACTCTTTCCAAGTTTCATTCTCTTCTGATTCGATCCCTACTTTAGTTAAAATACTTCTAGCTCCACCCTTTTAATCTTCGTTAAAATTTATTTTCAAGACTACTAACACTTCCGATCTATTATTCAACTGTTCTACTTCATCCTTCAGCGATCGTTAATTAAATTTGTTAAGTTTTAATTGTGTTTTATTCAGTAATTTTACTTTTGCAAAGTGTGTTTAATTCCACCAAAAAAACCTAAAATATCTTCCTTACCTGAAACAAAAGAGAAATAACATTAATTAACTAATTCTCTTATCGTTAGCTTTTAATAGCATATTAACTAGTGATCTCAATTTTGTAGTCATACTAAAAAGGAAACTGCAAAAATGATAAAATCAGCGTTAAAAATAAAATTTAATTGTGACGACCTATTTTATGAACTCATCCATTAAAACCAACTCATTATTGGGTCAATTAAAATGTATTAAGTGCTCTATATAAAGTTGATGACCTGTTTTTAAAAGCGAATGCAAAATTATGATGGTCTCAATAGTCTTCTCCTATGTCTCAAGAAGCAATTGGAAAATCAGTTATTTGCATCCATTGATTTTGTTTTGGAATAAAAGACACTAATCACAAAAATATTTAAAGTTTAACAAGTAGGTGTTAACTTCTCTATACAATAAATCTTAATTAGTTGAAGCAAATTAGTGAATCTCAATCTCTGTTTGCATCAGTCTTGAGAATTATTAAATCAATTTCAATGGAGTTGCCGTTACGTTACAGGGAATATTTTGAATAAAGTTTTGACATTAATATAAAACTAAGTAACAAAGAAAATCAGATGACAACTAATAAATTCGAAATCGATAAGTTTCTAATCAAAAACTTAATGTTCTTTATTCGAGTGAATGAATGAAGAGAACAAGACATCAGAAACATTGAAAGTTGACGCATTCTTATTATAATAAGTGATTACGTATGCTTAACAAGCAATTCGAACTGATTTAAATAGCAAGACGTGAGTAAAATACAGTACAAGGCAATATTCATAAACTCCAGTATTTGCATACGGAGAATTTTCTGAAGATTTTCCTCTTCTAAGAATCGTCGAGTCGCATTTAAAGCATTTAACGCAGGAACATTAAAAGAATGACGACTGTACCTACATGCACATGTGTTGCAACAAGGAATGGTTAATGAACTCAATTTAGTCGAAGCCAGAAATAGCACAGACATAAAATTAGGCGAAAGAGATGTCAATAATATCACAGACGGAATCATTTCACCGTGACTATGTACAAACCATTAGTACACACATAAAAAGACTGAGAAAACCCTTCCGTATTATAGCTCTATACATATTTAAATAAATTTACCGGAAACCATAATCCTTTCCGCAATCCAGAATGGTACAGCTACAACAACACTGATACCGTCGTAGTTCTATCACATAATCATCTTTACCTGATGATACAACGATCTCCTTTAAACTGACGATTAAAAAACGATTTCATAGAAGATGTAGGGGTTGCTTTGTGGGCTACTTTCGATATCCATATTGTTTTTGATTAATTAGAATCTTTAATTAACAATTAGCAATGTATTTCATTTGGAAATGAACAATTGCAAAGAAGTGGACGGGTTTAAATGTCTAATTTCCGGTGCATAGTAGGTTGCATATACACACATTTTGGTTATAAAATTATTGAAAATAACCCCAATCCACCGTTGATAACGATACCTATCGTCCAAACTTGGATGACCTAAACTAGTCAAACTCAAAATCTTATTTCAGTAGATCCGCAGTTGTTAATATTAAAAAAATAATAGCAATCAAGCATGAACGGAGGCGATTTGGCTATAAGAGCTACAAAACTGCAACCAAATACACATGATATGCCCGTTGCTCTGATTTTATTTGTCAAGATCACTTTACATTAAAATTGTGGAACTTTTACAGGGTGTACAACTATAAAAGTGTGAAAAGTGTGTTTTAAGGGACACGTGGCAATATACGAGGGTGGATTGATAAGTTTCCGGCCTAACCAAGAGATGACGCCACTAGGCCTACCTTGAGGTGACATTCTATAGTACCATCCTTGGATAGCTTGTAGCTATAGTTTCAGCCCGATCTCCTTGCTAGTGTAGGTTTGACAGCACGCTGAACAAGACGCCTCTGTGGTTTTCGTAAAAATGGAAAAGCAGGAAAATCGTGCTGTCATCAAATACTTTTATTTGAAGGGGTTAACGCCGAAGGAAATTAAAAAAGAGATGGACTCAACACTGGGGACATCCTCCCCGTCATATTCAACCGTTAAGCAGTGGGTTTCCGAGTTTAAAAAGGGTCGTGTGAGCACCTCTGATGGGCCTCGCTCAGGACGCCCCGTTGAGGTCACAACTCCAGATATGATCGAAAAAATTCATCAAATAGTGCTGGGAGACCGCAGATTGAAAGTGCGTGAGATAGCTGAGACCTGTAAGATGTCATATGAACGTGTGCAACATATTTTGCACCAACATTTGCATATGGAAAAGCTCTGTGCAAGATGGGTGCCGCGTTTGCTAACAGTCGACCAAAAATTGATTCGAAAAAACATTTCTACCGCAAATTTGTCATTGTATAAGCGTAATCCAAGCGAATTTTTGCGTCGATTCGTAACCGTTGACGAAACGTGGGTCCACCACTACACTCCTGAAACCAAAGAACAGTCTAAACAGTGGATTGGACCAGGGGAACCAACTCCAAAGAAGGCAAAAACAATTTTTTCGGCGAACAAGGTTATGGCTACTGTTTTTTGGGATGCAAGAGGTATTATATACATTGATTACCTTGCAAAGGGTAATACTATCACTGGTCAATACTACGCAGACTTATTGCAACGTTTGAGCCACGAGGTGAAAATTAAACGACCTCATCTGGCGAAGAAAAAAATCTTGTTTCATCACGATAACGCACCAGCGCACACGTCAATCGTTGCGACGGCTAAAATCAACGATCTAAAGTTTGAATTGATGCCGCACCCTCCTTACTCTCCAGACCTAGCCCCGAGTGACTATTTTCTGTTCCCTAATCTCAAAAAATGGCTTGGCGGTAAGAGATTTGCGGACAATGAAGAAGTAATCGAAGCTGTAAATGGTTATTTTGAGGAGCTTGACGAATCAGTCTATAGAGATGGCATTAATAGACTGGAACACCGCTATGAGAAATGTATCAGCCTTGGAGGAGATTATGTTGAGAAATAAAAAAAAAAAATTTTTAAAAACCTTGTTTTTCTTGGTCAGGCCGGAAACTTATCAATCCACCCTCGTAACCTCAAGGTGACCCATACTTCTAATTTTGGTTTGTAGTCTGTTTTGTGTAAAATGTTCAGATTATTTCACAAAGTTAGTTGACCATATTTGTGGAATATGTGGTCCAAGGAAAACAAATAAACGTACATATGTGGGACCTACTACTATAAAGCAACGTTAGAAACAATATGAATATGACGTACAACAAATTAATATTGTTTTAACCAAATGGGTTTTTTTTTAATTATTATTTGGATATATCGGAAGTTGAATACATTATCTTCCCCTTGATTATCTGCATAATACAGATATATACAGGGTGCTTCAAAAAAATGTATACACACTTTAAACTATTGTAATTTTCCCGCTCTACAAGGCTAATGGTATATTTCTTCGCCAGGTGCCAGCATAATCGTCCCTCTATGTTATATTATCAGTTGGAATTTGTAATATCAACATGGGGGACGTACGAGCTTACCTGGATCAAAATTTGTCGGGCCAGTGGATAGGACGCAGGGGGCCAATCGAGTTTCCAGCACGCTCTCCAGACCTTACACCACTGGATTTCTTCTTGTGGGGCACAGTAAAAGATGAGGTGTACAAACGTAAACCACGTAACCTAGACATTCTTTGGAATGAGATTCAAGCAGTGTGTAGAGAAATCTCATTGGACGTTTTGATACGATGTACAGAATCTGTGGTGACTCGTACTCAGAATTGTATTGATGCTGTAGGTCACCAATTTGAACAGTATTAACATTTGTTATTTATGTTTCATTTACATTGGACTTTCAGCTTTCTATTTTCCTGAAATTTAACTTTGTAGAACGGTAAATAAATTTTCTATGGAAGTTCAAAGTGTGTATACATTTTTTTGAAGCACCCTGTATATAGTCCGAATTCTCTGGGTTACGGAGATCAAAATAGAATCTAATAATATCGAGTCTGCGGAAGAACTTCTAAATATATATTAGCGTACGTTGGTCAACTTTTTGCCGTCTACAACCTGTCCTCCACCAGAAACCATCTGTCACCATCCAACAAGAACAAAACTGAAAATAGTTCCGACATTTCTGAGAAACTGCTCAAAGGTCGTCTTCTCTGGAAACGTTCAGAAGTGACGATAAGTATAGTTAAAGTAACCTAGTAAAATTTTTTCCATTTTTAAATTCGAGAAAACTCAGGAAGTCCTCGCATCCCTAATTATAGTCGATGTCCTGTTTCTGCTTCCAATAACTATCTCCCCATTTATAACCTTCTCAATCCGCGTACCTACGCCAGTTCTGATACGAAATTTTCTGATACTGATGTTAAATTCCAGGGCCGTCTTAAGGCCACGTCTCTATACATAGACGTAGGTGGGTAAACTTGATAAAGCCAAAAATTTAGTGCATACAGCATAATATTCACCACACTTTCTTTTCAAAGATTTATTTGTTTACGCGCCTGGTAAATTGAAATCCAACTATATTTGACAATCATCGAGAAACAAAAACGTGTACAGCCATTATATTTTTTTTATTGTTACCAAATAAATCAGAAGTCATAAGAAAGCCGCTTTCTACATGCATTTCCGATGCAAAATTCGGTTAATTTATCATACCTTTCTATATAGGGCGTAATTTCTTCGATTCACTCTACCGCACCGTTTATATATTTATGATGACCGTATAAAACGCACAATCTTGATAGCAATACACAACACGAAACAGCCTTCCTCGATACACGTGTTTTTATAACAAACGACAAAAGAAAACCAATATACGTACGGTAAAGTGATTTTAAATTTTGCAACAACACAATTGTTGTCGTAACACTGACGCTGCGAACTGAAGTTTCTGTACACGATTTACCTCCATCCTCCAGTAAAGGCTTTCGTTAAACGTATATGGAAAATTCAATGCCACACAACATCTGTTCTTATTTTCACCTACGACAAACATGTTAACAGATGAGAGGTACGCAATTATAAAACGTTTTTCAATGTTATCCTCTGTCTAATTAGAAGCGGCGACCTAAAATTAATTAAAAAAAAAAGAACGTCTGTACCACGTTTGAGAGAGACAGTTTGAATTTAGCAAATCGTTATATACATATATATATATATACCCAGTGGAGGTCACCGGTGGGTCTATTGTGGTGCACTACGGTGGTGGCATGTCGGTAGATATGGTGGTGTGGGAGTTATTGTGGTTAAAAGTGGTCGATCTAAAGATTTTCATATTTTGGCCACAAGTTCTAAAAAATATACGAAACCATTTACAATCTTCGAAATTTCCCAGTCTGACGGATGTGTCGATTTGCGAGTTGACCTCTGGTCACCAAACACTACTTTATAATAAGTGAGAATGTACCTACTACAATGTTCTTAAATATTTCCAATATTGTCCTAAGCTAGAACCTTCTCGAATGTCTCTAGTAGAATGTTCTAGATTGAACTTGACCAGAATAATCGAGAACTTTCCAGAATGTTTCAGAACCATTATGTATAAGTGGAGGTGCCTCATTCTGACACTATACTGGGGTATTGTCATATATTTCGATCAGTACTTTAAATAAAAGATGTTTGTAATCTCCTATAACAATACCAAACACCCGTTTAGAATAAATGGAAAAATATTAGATTGTTCTTCATTGTTTCCAGAGTGGTCCTTAGGTAGAATGTTCTCGAATATATTTGTTTTCAGCTAGATTACACTAGAATGCCCGACAATCATCAAGTATAAGTGATGGGAATGACTTCTCACACTACATTAGAGAATTTTATGTATATTTTAACCAAAGTGTTCTAAAAACTTCTATAATATTCAAGAGTTGTCCAGGTTGGGTTGTGTGGGTTTGTGGGCAGATCACTGGTCACCAATAACACCAGTTTAGAATAAGTGAAGATGTACATATTGGAATGTTATTAAATGTTTTTGGGAAAGCGCCCAGCTAGAATGTTCTGGAATGTCCTTCGCTAGAATCAAAAATGTTTAGGAATGTCCTAGAGCAGGCCTTCTTAACCCCAAATGGGGTGCGTAGCAAAAATCGGGGGTCGGGAGAGATTTTAATGTATATTGTATATTACCTAATAAATAAACCATCAAAAAATATCTATTTATCTTTCTTTTATATTTATATAGGGTCGCCAGGAAACAAGCAATCATAAATAGGGTCGTGAATGAAAAAAGTTTAAGAAGCTCTGTCCTAGAGCCATCAGCTAAAGTGATTTTTCAATCGAGTTCTGAGAATGACTTCTCACACTACACTAGAGAATTTTATGTATATTTCGACTAAAGTGTTCTAAAAACTGTTTGGATTTCTCCTATAATATTCAAGATTTGTCCAGTTTGAGTTGTGTGGGTTTGTGGGCAGACCACTAGTCACCAATAACACCAGTTTAGAATGAGTGAGGATGTAGGTACCTACTGGAATATTCTTGAATGTTTTTGGGAAAGCGCCCAGCTAGAATGTTCTGGAATTTCTCTAAGATTGTCCTTCGCTAGAATCAAAAATGTTTAGGAATGTCCTAGAGCAGGCCTTCTTAACCCCAAATGGGGTGCGTAGCAAAAATCGGGGGTCGCGAGAGATTTTAATGTATATTGTACATTGTATATTACCTAATAAATAAACCATCAAAAAATATCTATTTATCTTTCTTTTATATTTATATAGGGTCGCCAGGAAACAAGCAATCATAAATAGGGTCGTGAATGAAAAAAGTTTAAGAAGCTCTGTCCTAGAGCCATCAGCTAAAGTGATTTTTCAATCGAGTTCTGAGAATGACTTCTCACACTACACTAGAGAATTTTATGTATATTTCGACTAAAGTGTTCTAAAAACTGTTTGGATTTCTCCTATAATATTCAAGATTTGTCCAGTTTGGGTTGTGTGGGTTTGTGGGCAGATCACTGGTCACCAATAACACCAGTTTATAATAAGTGAAGATGTACCTATTGGAATGTTCTTAAATGTTTTTGGGAAAGCGCCCAGCTAGAATGTTCTGGAATGTCTCTAAGATTGTCCTTCGCTAGAATCAAAAATGTTCAGGAATGTCCTAGAGTCATCAGCTAAAGTGACTTTTCAATCGAATGGTGGGAATGACTTCTCACACTACATTAGAGAATTTTATATGTATTTCGACCGAAATGTTCTAAAAACTGTTTGGATTTCTCCTATAATATTCAAGATTTGTCCAGTTTGAGTTGTGTGGGTTTGTGGGCAGACCACTAGTCACCAATAACACCAGTTTAGAATGAGTGAGGATGTAGGTACCTACTGGAATATTCTTGAATGTTTTTGGGAAAGCGCCCAGCTAGAATGTTCTGGAATTTCTCTAAGATTGTCCTCCGCTAGAATAAAAAATGTTCAGGAATGTCCTAGAGCCATCAGCTAAAGTGATTTTTCAATCGAGTTCTGAGAATGACTTCTCACACTACACTAGAGAATTTTATGTATATTTCGACTAAAGTGTTCTAAGAACTGTTTGGATTTCTCCTATAATATTCAAGATTTGTCCAGTTTGAGTTGTGTGGGTTTGTGGGCAGACCACTAGTCACCAATAACACCAGTTTAGAATGAGTGAGGATGTAGGTACCTACTGGAATATTCTTGAATGTTTTTGGGAAAGCGCCCAGCTAGAATGTTCTGGAATTTCTCTAAGATTGTCCTCCGCTAGAATAAAAAATGTTCAGGAATGTCCTAGAGCCATCAGCTAAAGTGATTTTTCAATCGAGTTCTGAGAATGACTTCTCACACTACACTAGAGAATTTTATGTATATTTCGACTAAAGTGTTCTAAGAACTGTTTGGATTTCTCCTATAATATTCAAGATTTGTCCAGTTTGAGTTGTGTGGGTTTGTGGGCAGACCACTAGTCACCAATAACACCAGTTTAGAATGAGTGAGGATGTAGGTACCTACTGGAATATTCTTGAATGTTTTTGGGAAAGCGCCCAGCTAGAATGTTCTGGAATTTCTCTAAGATTGTCCTCCGCTAGAATAAAAAATGTTCAGGAATGTCCTAGAGCCATCAGCTAAAGTGATTTTTCAATCGAGTTCTGAGAATGACTTCTCACACTACACTAGAGAATTTTATGTATATTTCGACTAAAGTGTTCTAAGAACTGTTTGGATTTCTCCTATAATATTCAAGATTTGTCCAGTTTGAGTTGTGTGGGTTTGTGGGCAGACCACTAGTCACCAATAACACCAGTTTAGAATGAGTGAGGATGTAGGTACCTACTGGAATATTCTTGAATGTTTTTGGGAAAGCGCCCAGCTAGAATGTTCTGGAATTTCTCTAAGATTGTCCTCCGCTAGAATAAAAAATGTTCAGGAATGTCCTAGAGCCATCAGCTAAAGTGATTTTTCAATCGAGTTCTGAGAATGACTTCTCACACTACACTAGAGAATTTTATGTATATTTCGACTAAAGTGTTCTAAGAACTGTTTGGATTTCTCCTATAATATTCAAGATTTGTCCAGTTTGAGTTGTGTGGGTTTGTGGGCAGACCACTAGTCACCAATAACACCAGTTTAGAATGAGTGAGGATGTAGGTACCTACTGGAATATTCTTGAATGTTTTTGGGAAAGCGCCCAGCTAGAATGTTCTGGAATTTCTCTAAGATTGTCCTCCGCTAGAATAAAAAATGTTCAGGAATGTCCTAGAGCCATCAGCTAAAGTGATTTTTCAATCGAGTTCTGAGAATGACTTCTCACACTACACTAGAGAATTTTATGTATATTTCGACTAAAGTGTTCTAAGAACTGTTTGGATTTCTCCTATAATATTCAAGATTTGTCCAGTTTGAGTTGTGTGGGTTTGTGGGCAGACCACTAGTCACCAATAACACCAGTTTAGAATGAGTGAGGATGTAGGTACCTACTGGAATATTCNTTAGAACACGATCGAAAATAATATTAACAAATAAAACAACAGTTAAATTTATGTTACGGCAAATGCTAAAACTTCTTCAGTTTTTTATTTGGAAAGTACTTAAATTGAATAAAAATAAGTAGAACGCAAAACAATTTCGAAATATAATTCTTCAGTAATGTCTATAAATAATTGCACATATTTATCGTCAACAGATGTAGTTTTACTTGACATTACTGATGATGTTTGATATTTAAAAAGCGTATCTATTAAAACTTTTTATGTTTTATTTAATTCCCACCATCAAGGCATTCTCATCAAGAGTTCTTTTAAGTTTCATTAAAATGGCGTCTACAATCATACGAATTGTCAAGTGTATTTCATTTGTTTTTTGATTGAGACAGAGTCTGCAGCTTTTCAACTATTACAGACAATCCGCTGACTACTTCAGTTGACATAGGATACATATTTTCAAATACCAAGAATGATATTTCGTAATTTCAACAATAGATAGTGAAAATGAAAAGAAAACGCTGCCAGATATGTCACAAATATGCCCCAATCGATTTGATAACAATGGAGAAAGGAACATTATCGAAAGCAATACGCGGTGTAAGTGTAATGCTGTTTGCAAATAATACTTACACTCTATCAACTCTGTATAATGTTACAATGCGTAATTTGATTTGAATAAATATTGACTGCCATGTTTTGTAATATTTAATCAGATCCTTAATGGCATTTACACACTGGTGCCGGATCAACAAAAAGAAACCAAAGCTGAATGTTTCAACTTTGTCATCGCTACTTTGGCTATGTTCTGATATGAATTAGTTTCTTTGATCAGTTCACCTTTATGACATAGATTACGTTCAAGTGTTCTCTAATTAGGAACTAAAAAAAATATGAAGCAACTTTTGATTCAAATAGAGGAACCATTAAAACATCAGGTTATA